CGAAATTTTTCTATGTATAGACGATTGTAATCCAAACATTTCTCTACAAAATGAGACATTCCGCGACTTTGAGTATTTCTCTATCGGCGGCTTATAACAGTTTTTGTGGAAGCCACAAGTTGAATTGCGTCATTGGCATAACGTGCATATACAGGATGATATGAGTCGTTGAAATGGGACATATGTCGGATAATTTGGTTATAATATTTACTGAATTATGAGCTGCCATTAGAAAATTTGGTACTTGCTCCGTCCTGAACCAAATGGGATAAAAATTGGGCACCAGGTGCAAAATTTTATTATTTTCATTGGCGCCAATGAAAATAATAAAATTTAGGCAAAAACCACGTTGATTATGTCGACGCCAAAAAGGAAGTGAAGATGTAATTATAAGGAACCCGCTGTCGGATTCACCGACAAATTTTGCACCTGGTGCCTAATTTTTATCAAATTTGGTTCAGCGCGGAGCAAGCACTAAATTTTCTAATGTTTGAGTAAAGCAAGCGTTCTGCGTAGAATTTTAGGCATGGCAGCCATCTTGGATTTCTATTGGTTAGCGTACGAAACGAATAAAATAAATGTACGTAGACACGAGCGCTCTATAAGTAAATTAAAAGGATCGGAGCTGAGCATTTCAGTATAGTAAAAGAAAAATATTCTGAATCGAACTGTCGACTTAGATTTTCTACACCGGCTCGCGGGCTGGATCCTGTATCCAATATGAAGATCGAATATCGATTGTTCTTGTATCTGAAGTTATCTTCAGGGAAAGCAAGAACTTTGTAGGGCAGAAATATTTCATTATCATAGAAGATATTTTTTCAGTAGAAATGCTAGAAAAAGTAGCTTTTTCCCCCATTGCTCTTGTTTGTCGAGCTGAGTAGCTGACGTGAGATGACTGCGGAGAAGGGTGGTGCGACGTCACTCAAAAGTTTGGATTGCATAGCTATTTAATTTGAATTACTGCCTTGAGAAATTTTCTTTATATAGTTGGTTTGAGCAGAGATAAAAGTAGTTGTGCTGCTAAGATTATTTCATCTTATCATTAGTGCTTTTTCTAGGAGATATTAAAAGAGTCTTAGAAAATATTTCTGAACAAGACTGTACACTTACTCTATCTGCATTAGCTGTTAAAGAAACATCAATTTCAAAATTAAGTTACACAATAGTAGACGCAATTATTAAATTATTGGAAATGAATATTATAGATGGTGAACCTCTACAATTGAATGAAATAACAACAAATGTTAATTTTTCTTCATTTAATTGGCCATACAATGATGAAGAGCGTGAATCACCTCAAGCATGCAAACATTTAAAATTGGAATTAGGAAAATTTAGAGTTATTTTTGGACTCAATGGATATAAATTTGTTGATGTACATGCAAATAAAAAACACGTATTTAATATACACTTTAAACAACGAATATTTAAAGGTGATGCCGATGCTCTTATAATTCCCTACAAAACAGCTGCAGATGGTTGTGCATTACAATTACGTGTGGTGTTCGAATTTAAATTGCCAGAAAATATGGTTTTTGAGAAATACCGTGGTGAATACATCATAATGTTCAGGAACAAGTGAGAACAAGGATAAAGTCATGTTATGATGCGATGTATTTACACTTTTTATATCCATTAGTTTCGCAGAAAAAGTATATTTCCTTTTTACTCAAAAAGCAGGTTTAAAGTTGGTTAGTGATGTCTACTTCGATTGTTAAAGTTGTTTGATATATAGCCATGTTACGTCGTCCAACACATTTCTGAAGTATAAGCGGCACTTTAGATTTCCTACTGAGAAAAATGTTGTGGGTAAAAAAAGAAAAAAAGTGAGTTCGATAGATGTGTGAACTATTTTTGTACAAGGAATCGCATGCGCGATACTTCGTTCACTTGATGAGATTGCCCGTATGACTTGCGGTAGTGCTAGATTAAACAATGAATAAAACAAAGGCTCTAGAATCGAACAGGTTTAATTTCGTGACTATATGCATTTTTCATAACCTGTGTTTAAATGAAAGCTTTTTCTTTTTGTTTCTGTACAGATTCGTTTTACGGTGAATTATTATGTTCCCTTGCAATGTCTCATCATCCATGTCTTACGGTTCTAACTGATTTACGTACACAATGCTTTATCGATCGATGTATTAATGAAAATATTCATGTATGGGCATGTGATAATATGAATGAAGGAATGAACTTAATTTCTAATTTTGCTATTAGACATTGCAATCCAAGTGAAAGATATAAATGTGATTTTAACGCTGATTATGTTAATACCGATACAGATCTAGTTGGGTTAAAAATAATAAAAAAATATACATCGGACGATGGCTAGAACAATTATAATTAGAACAATTAGAATTGATAAATGATATAGAAAATCCTGATGAACGCTTTGGCGAAGCACTTTCAATAATTCAGAGTTGGAATATGGTTAATAAAGAAAATACAACAAACACTTTTGATTTTTATCATTAAAAACTATGAGTAACTATATGTAATATGTTCAACTTCTAATTAACATGTAAAATAGCTTAAAAAATGAGTGAGACAGAACCAAAGGGGAAAGCACGGAATCCTGAATTCCCCTGGATTCCAAGGATTCCCTATGATTCTTTAGGATTCCAAGGATTCTGTAAGATTCTCTAGGATTCTGAAGGATCCCATGGGATTCTCTTCGCTTCCTTAGAACTCCTCCAGATTTTGAATAACTTCTAAAACTGTCAAAGGACACCATTTGTATCACCCTCAGGTTTCCATGCTGATATCTCTTTTTCGTTTTTCTTTATTCGATTTGTTTGTAGTTATTGATATATGTACATGAACAGCTTGAGCTCCCGGTAAGCTTACATACTGACTAACCACATACTAGCCACGAGAGTTGGTTTTTATCACAACGTAGTCAGCATGCTATCGGATTGGTGATCCTAGGTAAACAACCGTTAATGACTTGTCCAGGGTCATTCCACGTCTGGTGGCGCCGAGGCTCGAACACAATACCTTGGGGGTACGTGCCAAACAAGTTAAGCCTATTTTGAGAGACGAACATTACCATTCGATAAAACCTAGCTTAATCCTTGAAACGTTTTACATCATAATGGGGTATGTACTTCATATACAAAAAAGATAAGTACACAAAGATCAAAATAGTTTACAAAAAAAGGATCAACTAGAAAATGCGCTAGTATATATAAAAGGTGTGAAGACTATAAACCGCAAATCACATATTTTATTAGACGAAAGAGATTCATCTAGTTGGTAGGTATGAAAGAGAAAGACACCAGATTAAAAGTCTACTGTTGCGATAATGTTTGTGCTAACTCCAGAGCTGAAATAATTCCGATGTAATCGCCACGTTGCGGTGGAACAATGTAAGAATCAATATTCTCATTACTAACTTGAGGTAGTTGAATATAATTATTTAACGCTTTCAGAACATGTTCTCGTACCAATTTAAATAAAATACGTCGTTTCGATAGACCACCACCAATAACAATTCTTTGTGTTGATGTAAGGTAGGTAATAGCTGTGCAAAGTTGAGCAAGATAGTAGGCTTGTATATTCCAAACTGGATCTGAATCGGGTACGTCCGATAGTTGACTCGCTGGAATTTTAAGGCGTTCAGCAATTGATTGGGCATTGATCATTCCTTCGACACACGTTCCGTGAAATGGACAGTTGCCTTTGTAGTCATCACCGTCAAACTGGGATGTTTTCAAGTGCCCGCCTAAATGAGAAGAAACAGAGAGAATTTGAGATATGAATGGTATGAATGCATTCAAACTTTCCTTCAGGATGCATGAGACCATGTACAGGACGACCATCCAAACAGATACCGACTCCGACGCCTAGAAAGGTTTAAAAAGGCAACAATAACGCAAATTGTATTGCTTGAATGTTCTTAAGTTAGGAAGTAGTTAAAACAAGAAATCTGAGTTTTCAAAATATAGAACTTGAAAACTGTGGACGTAAATGATTCCGCAACGCGTTGGACAACTCGCAACTTTCGCTTTCTTAGTATCTGTAAAAATTTGAGTTAATTATTCTTTCAACTCCCAGACTTACCCGTTCCAACTGTAATATAAGCCACTGATGTAATATCCGGTCCAGCTAAACGTGATTCGTGTAGAGCTGGCGCATTCACATCAGTATCAAAAGCAATCGGTACACCTAAATCTCGGAATACACCCACGACATTTGTGAGTGGCCAATTTGGTTTTGGGGTGTTAGTGATATAACCGTAGGTTTTGCTTTTCCTGTTTAGATCAACTGGTCCAAAGGAGCCAATTCCCAACGCAAAAAATTGCTTTTCTTTCTGTCGTGCTAACAGCCATTGATGAAGTTTTGTAAGGGTTTCATCAGGTGTCGTGGTTGGAATTTGAAACAGATCGTTTTCATTGAATTCTCCATTTTCATCGCTTATTGCAGCCTTACATCCAGTGCCGCCAAGTTCAAGGCCGGCAACAACGAGAAGATTTTTTGACATTTTCTTTAACTAGTGAACTGCACCTTTGATCAGCCACCTAATATTGAATTTCATTGTGCGGGTTTCGTTGAGACAAAATGAAAATATTTTTAATCTAAAAGACATAAAATAAATCGTAAAAGAACGGTAATAAAATTTTATCTATACTCTATACAGCTGTGAAAGGAAAAGTTAATTCACATAGCAGCGTAGTCTAAACTTCGATTGTCTAAGGCGAAACTATGTTTTTCAAATTCAACAGTAGATCGATAAACTCAGGAAACTAGTGAATTATACAACGAAAAATAACTCTCAGTTCAGCAACGCCGACCTATTTATAAAAAAACGAATAAATTTGACATCCTTGCCTGCTTGCTACTAAATAGTGAAGAAACGAACAGTGAAGAACCAAACTGATTTCACACTGTTTGTCTCTGTGTCAATTATCAGAAGAAGAAAAAACAGAAGAACTGACTAACACGCTGTTCTAAAAAAGCAGCAAAAATAACCTTCTAACTCAATTCTTCGTTATTCTTACAGATTAGACATATCAGTCATTAATGTACTATTTTATACGAAACGACACAGAGAAGAAACAAGAAAATATTATGGGATATTTCTTTGTTTCTTTTCTTCACTGTTTCTACATGTACGTGTATAGCATACATATTAGTATTTCTCTTTCTACGATTACACTGTTTGTTAATATAAATTTCTTATTGTTCGTCTGATTGTTGCTGTAAATTTTTGTTGAATTTGATTTGCTATTCGATGATTTTGTATAAGTTGTCGATGATTCTGGACAGCTACACAATTGTTCATATTGTTATTATGATTCACTTTTGTTCTTTTATTGGGAGTACCTTATTCACAAATATCTGGACTGTTTTGTTTAAGGCCGGTGTACCAACTTTGTATGTCAGGTTCTATAATCGATGCTGACATACAACGTCGGTACTTTTTAGTCGTAATTTATGATAATATATCAATACTATCGAACAAATGAAAGTCCATTTAGAAAATATTGAGGTTCTCAAGCAAAAACATCTTACTCAGCAATGGTACTTGTTTTAGATCTTATCCATCGTTTAGTGTAAACTTAAAAGCTGGCTCTAACAAATCACTAGTTTCCTTGTGCATACGTTGCTTTTTACAGACCATATGTGATCTAATTGAAATTTCATGTTCAATATTAAAACCATGTCAACTATTGAATAATGCGAATTTCATCTGTACTGAACCGGAGACAATTTGCATTAAAAATAATCTGATGTAATAACCAACAGCAGGCATTATGTTATCCAATAAGTTTAGCTAGTCCAAGAGTATGTCAACCAAAAAAAGGTATGTTACCTGGCAATAGTGTTTAAACCAAGAGAATCAGTCGGCTAAAGACAGAAAATAGGTGAAAATATAAGGATGACTGAGTCGATCTGCCAATTAACCGATCCTTTCTCGGTTCGAGAGGAGAGAGTTCGAATTTTCCACCTTAAGAAAATGAAAAGCGGTATTGTTTGATACGCTTTTTATGCGCCCCTTTCCCACTATAAGTTTTCTCCTATAATCATAATATTTCTTCTATAATTAGAAATGGTTAAAACGACTGTTCAATTGGTAAAAAGAATATAATATATCCGGTCCATTCAGATACTCAAAACATTCCATTAATATTTCATATGGTACTAATTCCAGTTTCATGGCGATTGCTATTTCACTCCTAGTAGAAAAAATCAACCAACTTCAAACGCGCTTTTGCACCTTTGTATACTGCAGTAGTATGTGCGTGTGTTTATCTAATGATTCATCTCCTAGGTATTGTATTGATATTTCTCACTACCTACGAAGCGTTTTTGTAGGATAGAAGACTCTTCTGAACAACATAACTAAAAAATAGTCTCCATCAATAGAGGGGCCAGCCGGTTGTGCATAATTTACGCTAAGGATTCATCCAATTATAACCTAAAATACGACTAGAAAATGAGAACCATTTCTATAGGTAGCGCAGCTTTGGGTTTTTCAATAATCTAACATCTACACGGACGCATACGTCTATTTTCTTACCGGGTTCTCCTCATGTACAGTGAAAGATAAAGAAAATCTGGTACTCTGATAAGAGAACTATAAAGCTCATTTCTTCGGTTTTTTAGCGAGTAAATCAGTTCTTTATTGATGAAAATGAAGTAATGACACAATGAAAATTATTAATAATGATTTATGATTTCTATACTTACAAGCCCTCTGTCATAATTATATTGAGAACCAATAAATTTATTAATTTTGCGTATTTCAATCGAAGGACCATGGATAAATGTTGTTCCCGTGTCAGCTATAGCATAACAAGTTGAACATATACTTTCATCGCCTATATGTATACTAAAAAGGTACGAAAACGAATCGTTATCAGTATATCATTTAAACACGATATTCACATATAATGCAAATTCTTACCTGTAACTTTCATTTTACTTATCTCAGTTGGGAACAAAAAGATTCGGTAGATTGACTCTTAGTTTTGATGTAAAGTGTTTTCCTCTGATTTTTAGGAAGATAAAGGGATTATTTCTGATATCGCGGAGTCACAGTTCTGTTTGAAATAAAACATTGAATTATGATCCGTACGGCTTGTCCAGCTAAAGGT